GAATACTTCTGCTGTGTTTTTCAATAACTGGCATATATGCCATAAAATGGGTTATAGAGCCCACATGTCCAAGATATAGACACAAACACGAGCTACTTATTTTGTCTGTAGATCTCTGAGTCATTTGTGAAAGGAGTAAATAAAGACAGGAAAACAGAAAGCAACTTCATCTCATGCTGATTAGCACAGTTATTGTGTCATGGGAAGGGTCTTTTCAAGGTCTAACAGAGGTTTTTATTTTTGATGCCTCCTCTGTGCCAAAGTATAGAGAATTGTATGTAAATTGTAGCTCAACATTTCTCTCCAAACAGACATGTACAATTACAGAAAGACAAAAACAAAGTGTCCTTCAACAGAAGTAAGAAAAAAGTAACTGTAGGTCACAGGACATAACTGTTGTGAAGATTATTGTTATCAATAATAGTAATGATATCTAAGTTTCACTTTACTCTGATTTCATATACGTTATCACCATACAGAACACTCCTTATCTCTATAGTATTCAATGCATTTGTTGTAAGCACAAATCAATGATTTGACGATGCAGTCTTATGGTGATATTAAATACCTGACTGGCATCTCAGAAAATAATGAGAAAGAGTTAAAAATTAAACTGAAAGATGCTGTCCAACTAACTGAAATTTTTAATTGTTTACCAGTTCACAGAAAGATGTAAGCAGAGGTTTAGAGTTTTAAAAAGTTGCATCTGAGGTACATATACATATATATATATATATACACATATACATATATATATACATATATATTCACACATATGTATTTTAACTCACCAATCTCCTAAATGGAAATGAAATCATAACCTGATATGACCCCATTGGATATTTTATGGAGTAATTGCAAGGATGGAGAAGGATGTGGAAAGTTGCAACGATATCCAACAGCGGTATGAGCAGAGAAATTTATGCTGAATTTTCAAGTGTATATTCTTCCTGTAAAATATGCCTGTGACCTATGTATGTCCTTTTTACAGTGGATGCTCCTGGGCTCTGTGATCATTCAGGTACCACAGCCAACCCAATTGCCCACAGTTAGTAAGGGTTCTTCTCTACAAGTGACAGGGAGAAGAAATGGCTATTTGGGTTGCTGAGGATATAAATTGCAAGGATTCTCTTAGTATAAGGCCCTGTGTCTGTAATCAAACAGCCCAATGAAAATATGGCTTCACTATTTACTACCTAACATACTGTGTGTTACATTAAAATGATAGGCTCTTCAGTTTACTGTAAGATGATAATAAGGTGGGCCATTATAAACACAAGAAAAGTAAACACATGAAATAAAACAAGGTATGTAGAATATTTTACTCAGTACCTGAATTTAGGAAGTCCTAAGAAACACTTTATGATGCTATGATCGATAACTTTATCTTATTATCCTTATGATGACCACAGTAAATCTTTTGGAGTACAGAGAAATCAGTTCATTGGGACAAATTTTTGGTTATGGGGCGAGAAATCAATTTAATATAGAAGCAGGGTAGGTAGGAAGCAAATTTTGAAAAAGATTTCTGATATCCACAGTGCAATCACTTCGCTTATTCATTGGATCAGGCAACATGTGACTTTTGGTTCTTCCCTAAAGTCATAATGACCATGAAACCTCAAGCACTGAATTGATTCAGGACATGTGAGCAGCCAGGACAGACCAACTATAGAGACTCAAAGGACAGGCCTTGCAGAACCACTTCTGAAAGTGGCTAGAAAGAGGGATAAGTGTGTTTAAAGCAAGAAGGAGTATATTTTCAAGAGGAGTATTTTGAGTTAGGTTCATTGCGAATGTGATTTTTATTGCAGTAATTTTTATTTAAATATTCACCATGGGTTTTGATCATGTCTGTTCCCTTCTTAGTTTTTATTTTCTGATAATCAACCTATGAACTGGGAGTTGATCACAAAGGAAGGTTCTAAACGAGGGTTTTAATCCCAATATTTTTACATCTAATAAATAATTTCTTGTGAAGTTCTGTGTGCTATTTTCAACATAATTTCTTGTTATAAAATATAAATAAGAATGATTACCATTCTAAATCAGGATAAGTGGATATTTCAATGTCATTTATTACATTCACAATACTATGGAATTCTCACCATGATTTCCAGAAATTTTGCTTCTTCAAAAACTGTGATTTTTACTCCTTTTTAAACTCTTCATCCATACTTCCTACATTATATAAACCTGTTAAAGGACTCTAAATTTTACCTTGAGTAAAATAAAATTTAATATAAAGACTTCTATGTAGCTGTGATACTAATTATTACTGAATTTGTATGTTAAATTAATGTACATTCCCGAGACTACATGGCTTCTAAAGTGCAAAACTTAGGAGAACTCTTATCATATTGGCATACTCAAGTTAAATAGTTTACAATGATAGACTTTTCCAGAATTATGTCTATGTCATCTTTATTGTATTATGATAGTTAGATGTACCTAAACATTATGAAGTCTGGTCAGTGTCATTCTAATGATGAAAGATTGCATAAGAGTAATTTAAAAATACATCTGTAAACAAGTGCATTTTATTTAGACATTTTAATTTTTAATAATACAAATTAATTGATGATATATGCCATTTAATATTTTATAATTTAATAAAGGTAACCAATTACTCATAAGTTACACTACAATAAAATTTTACATATATTTTAGAGATAATAAAGTGAATCTAATGGCCCTGGTATAATAATGCCATTATGAATGTTATCCTAAAATACTGTGTTTCCTGCTGTTAATTTTATTTTTTGTTTTCCTGGTAAAACTTTGTAAATGTTACCTTTTCACTTTCTACAACAGTGTTACTTCTAAAAGACAACCTAAATAGTAGGTTCAGACGATATGTCATCACTTACAGGTCAGGTAGAATACGACACTGACTCCTCACACCAATACTCATAATCCTGACCATGATTAATGGAAGAAGTATCTATTCCCTGGTCATATTACATATTTCAAAATTTCCAATATTCTAAAACATTTATAATAGGAATAAGACATACTTCTCCCATTGAAGACTGATGGAACTGACCTTCTGGGTGTTGAACAAGGCAGGTTTAGAGATCAAACTTAAGAAAGAGGCTACAAGATGTGCCAAAACTTTGGCCCTTGCCCTATAGGGTCAGTCAAATCCCAAGACATGACAACATCCCTCAGAAAAGAATCTGCAACTCTGGTGAGTCACCAAAAGCCCAACAAAACAGACTGTTTGACCACAGAGAACATGAGTAATGTGTGCATTTTTGCCAAAAAGAGAGTCAATAGAGAGGGGAGTTACCATGCTTTCTAGAAAATCCGTATGGTAAAAAAAGATTATGACCCATTACAGCAGATGACACAACTGGTAGAGCAAAATACTAGAGGATCTAAGACAGGGCACATGGCCCCAAAAGTAACTCCTCGAGATCATTAACATACCTTCCTTCACAGATATGTGTAAATACATTAACTTTGTTTGACAGTGTCTTACTTTGACTTGGTGAAAACACCCAACAGCAAAGTATAACTGAAAATGTGGAGCAATAACATTATAAGATTAGAGAAAGCTAGGCTATATTTAAAAAAGGAGCTCCAAACACTGTGCCAGCCACTACTGGCAGTCTCTAGCTGAACTTATAATAAATAAGCTACAACTGCAAGAAGTTGTGATTTCAAGACCAACTATCTGTCCCCAAAATGTGCCCTTCTACCTGTCCTAGTTCACTGTCATTGTGCTATTTTTATATAGTTTTACATTAACTCTCAGGTGAAGATTTGGTTTCTTGTATAGGTCTGCCTAGAAGTTGAACTTGACAATAGAAATATTCAACCTCCTAAGCTTTATTCCTTTTGTGGTTTAAACTTTCTGATATTTACTCCTGACTATATTTATATTATTGGAGACCAATCACTACAAAATGTTCTCAGGGATACAAAATAGAGGCCAGATGTCATGTTCTGAGACAAGTAGTAAAGTTTTTGATGGTCCAGGGCTCACATAGAAATGTATGTATTTGCTGTATTTTTGCAGTTAAAATAAGGGAAAGTTAGGTCTCTTATTGAACAAACGGGGAATAGTATATATACTATGACTCCATCTGTTGTACTTGGATAAAAACCTCAAGTCATGTAGAAGTAAAATGCTTCCTGATTTTGTCTGAATCCTACAACTTTTTGAAGCAGTGTTCACCAATACTCTTCTTTTAGTTTTGACACTTGCTTATTTAATTTGATTTAAAAATGAGATTGAAAACTCATTGACTCACTAATGTGCTTTTTTTCTATGATATTAATGTATGATGATTCATCAAACAACAAAAATCATCTTTCTTTGTCTCCTTTAGATCATTCAGAGTGAGACTTTTGTTCCCTAATTTGGCAAGGGCAGTGCCCCCCACCCAACTCAGCCTGAAGCAGCCATAAGAAGATGGAGTTTCAGCCCCTCCACATCCCTTAGGAAGTAGAGGTCAAAGGCTGGAAGGGTGAAATAAAATAGGATAGAAGAAATAATGAAAGGTAGAAGGAAGAAAAGGAAAGTTATAATTTAAAACTTGTACTTTTAAGAATATTACAACTACAGGAAACAAAGTTAACTGAAAGCTATGCATATTAGTATTCTCTAGCTTTATTTATGCTTATTGTGTTAAGATATATGTCACTAAATGTACCATGTTAACCATTTCATTTTTGGTGCCAGGGATAGAACTCAATGTTAATCATCTTTAGGTACATAGCTTGGTAACATTAACTATAATTTTGTTTTTGTGCATCCATCATTCTTATTCATCTCCAAAAATTTTATGATCCCAAATGAATTTTATACATATGAATAATCTTAATTCCAAGAGTTCCCAATGAGTCATGATCCTGTTATAAAACATGATAAATTTCACACATCAAACTCCCGAAATATAGCCAAGTTACCAGTGTTTGCAAATGATTTTTAAGTCTTCCACTTTAACAAATTTTCTAAACTACATTCCAAATAGATGCCAGAAGTTCTGGGATTAGACTCTCCAACTGTGGAGCCTCTTCAGAGTGCTAAGAATGTCCCTGTTCCTCAGGCTGTAGATAAAGGGATTCAGCATAGGGGTGACCACAGAGTACATCAATGAGGCCACCTCACCCTTGCTGGGAGAATATGACATGGCTGAACCAAGGTATGTCCCAAAGCCTGTACCATAAAATAAGCAAACAACTGACAGGTGAGAACCACAGGTAGAAAAGGCTTTGTACCTCCCCCCAGGTGATGCGATTTTCAGAAGCGAGGAAATAATTTTATAATAAGAGAAAACAATCCCTGACATGGGGATAAAGGCAAATATGGTACCAAAAATGTATAGGACTATTGTTATGATTAAAATATCATAACATGAAAGGTTAAGGAGTTGAGAAGCATCACAAAAGAAACTAGCAATTTTCACATCTTTGAAACAGGTAAGTTGTAAAGCAATTAAGTTGTGCAACTGTGAATTCAGAAGGCCAACAAAGACAGAGAGCAAAAACAACAAGACACAGATGTGAGGGTTCATAATGGTTGCATAATGCAGGGGATGGCATATGGCCACAAACCGGTCATAGGCCATCACTGTTAGAAACATGTTGTCCATACTTGCAAATAGGATGAAGAAAGACATTTGTGTCAGGCAGCCCACATAGGAGATAACCCTGCTGTGAGTTAGGATGTCCACAATCAAATTTGGGACAGTAGAGGAAGTTAAACAGATGTCAACAAAGGACAGGTTGGAGAGGAAGAAGTACATGGGGGTGTGGAGGTGGGAGTCAGAGATGACAGCCAGGATGATGAGCAGGTTCCCGAGCACTGTGACCAGGTACATGGACAAGAACAGTCCAAAGAGGATGGGCTCCATGTCTGGATTCTCTGAGAAGCCCAGGAGATGGAATTCTGAGACTCTTGTTAGATTATGTGTAACCATATTACTTGACCAACTTTTCCAAAAAAAAAAAATCATTAGAAAAATGAAATCAAAAATAGCACACAAAGCTGAGTATATTTTAGGAATTCAAGTATTCACAAGTGAAGTACTCCCTCAAGAGGTCCAAAACTTTCAGCAGCATTGCTCTATTGTGACAAAATCTACCATCAAGGACTCACTGTTGGGTGTTTTATTTTCCACCTCCACTGGACACTTATACTTTACAGATATTCTACTGCATATGGGCAGTAGACCAAGGACATAGAGTTCAGAAGTCCTTGATCCCAGTAAAATACCGCCAACTTTCATTTTTTACAAAAATAAAGTATAGAGAATAGTTAAGACAGGCTCATTTAAGCAAATAGGATTCTATTGGAAGAAAATTTTAAAACATTCAACTCTTTACTATTATATTCTCAGACTTCTTTGCCTTAGAGTGCCTCCAAATACTATAAAATCTAGGTTTTCACTATCTGAAAAATTAAATTTAAGTCAATTCTTCATAATTAGAACACATTGTGTTAAGACATTTGCCTCAAATAATATTTTTATCATTTTGGGTTTTCTGATTTTCCTCTTTCAAGGTTGAAAAAGCTCTCTCAGCCTTTGCTTCTATATAAACTATTTGATGAACTTGAGTTCATAAAACTAACTTGGTGAATTTGAGTTCATCTTGTCTTTGGTGAATTCAAATTTGTATATACCAGATTTAAATACATTCACGTAATCTTAGGACATACTGATCACAAAGGTAGCATTAGTGCACACCACACCTGTCAATAATTTTTTTTAAAAAATGATAAGAATCTTTTACATTTCAGATTTTAAACAGGTTTATTATATACTACAATATCACTAACATTGCTATGTAAACATCTCTCTATTGACCCTGTATTCTACAGCAGCTTGAAAACTTTCTTTACTTTGATCATACACCCTCTTGTATGCAAGTGAAGGCACAGGAAACAAAGTCCCCAGGCCCTGACTGTGTTTATCCTTTCCTAGTTTCTAACCTATGTGTTTTTCTCATCAATCTTCCCTGATACGTAAATTGTATTTCTCTTATTCCAGCTATGTGAAGGACACTGTGACACATTTTTTTTGGTCAGGTCACACTGTGATTGAATTGGAAATAACACATTAAAAAGATACTACATGAAATAATATAAACACACCTTAAAACTCAGATGCAACATAAAAAGTTACATTAAGTTTTGTAAACACAACTGTGAATAATGTAATCCTTCTCAACTGTAAAATGGGGAGCAGAATTACCTACCTTATATGGCTGCTGTAAGAAAATCTCTTAAAATCATTTAACTTGCATTACTGTTGGTTTGAACTTAGTAATATATTTATCTGGTGACATTTAGAAAAGTACAGATATTCTAGACTTTGACCAGTAAATTTAATCAAAATATTTACATTTCAAGATTTTGTGTTACTTTCTTAAGCAAGAGTTGAAATCCATTCTCTTAGAATACTTACTGGCATTTAGAAAGCATCTTTATAGATATGAACATGTAAATATTTAATAATATTTACATCAGTGTTAACATTTTTTAGAGATACGAACAATTATCTAAGAAAGTTGATTTCTTGGTAATCAACATAATTTTATATTCCTGCTTTCTTGTCTTCAAAGGAATCTTAGGTCCGGAGATTTAGCTCATTTGTTTCACTGCCTGCTGTGCAAGCACATGGACCCAAGTTCGATTTCTGGTTCCAAAAAAAAAGGAATCTCTTGTCATGAATTTTTTGGGTAGATTTTCCTGTCTGTGTTTCCAGGTCAATGTTGATTCATGAATCCAAAAGCAATTTTCTTAAAAACCTATTGTAAAAGTACCTAAAATTATTGTAAGTAATGTATAAGAAAACACCTTTGTCCCCAAAATAGATTAGGTTACAATCACAAGTGATTTTAAGTCTCCTTTAACTAATACATAACATTATCTGAGAGAGAGAGAGACCTCATTTAACTTGCAAGTCTATGATTATGACAATCTTTTCTAAATTTTTGTGCCTCTCTCCCTGTCATTCATGGAAAAAGTTGTATATAAGATATTGAGGGAGTATATATTTCTCATTTGCAAAAATAATGCTGGTTAAATTTCACACATTTTTTCAATAAATGTCAATCACTAACATCCCTTTATTCTTCAGAAATACTTCCAAAATATACATGCACTCTGTCCAGTGATTAACTCTGCATGCCAAAACACAAAGAAATTTCATCCTCATATGGTGAATGATATTTTCATTTTGCTCCAGTGTAAAACCTTGTAACAAGGGAAGGTCCTGAGGAAATGAATATTTAGTCCTGTTTCATTAACCTGTGAAAATAGCCAGACTGGGTATGAACCTCTCCTCTTCCCTGTACTCACACTATTTGAGAAAATTAAGAAGAACATTTATGTCCCCATGTATGGCAACTCAAAAAAATTTGGAAATTAGTCACTCATTGTGGGAATTTGTTTTTTAAAATAAAGAACTACACCTTAAGCAAGTAGGAAGTGTACTAATAAATATTGTAATATGTAAATGGTAATGGTGCCTGGAATTATATGAAATTCTATACCACATCTCAGCCTGAGGCATATATTCACCTTCTCCCTACTCTTTGTGCCTTCTTTAACTTATGAATATCTCTGCTGTGCTTCTGAATATTGATATACATTCAATTAAATGGATTGTAAAGGCAAGTCCCAATGACATGAATACAAACAAGCTATTTTATCATATCCTACAGCTAAGGGCATTTGTTAAAGGAAGGGACATGCAGAGAAGAACACACCAAGCATCTTCAGGTCAGGCTGAGCAAGGACAGTCATTGTGACTTAGGGAAAGGTCCTTTCAAAGTTTAACAGAGGTTTTTATTTTTGATGCATCTTCTGTGCCAAACAGTGTGTAAAATCTGAGGAATCAGAAATAGAAGAAAGTACATTGTTTCTCTCCAAACATATGCATATATTTACACAAACACAAAAATAAAATGTTATGCTAAGAAATAGAAGAAGAATAATTTCAGGTGAAAGGACGTAATTGGTATAAAGATTATTTTTATCACTAATAACAATGTAGGCTACATCTTCTTTGGCTCTAATTTTATAAACATTAACCCCCAAATAGAGCACTCCTTATCTGTACAATCTTCAGGGAATTTCTTCAACTACAAATCAACACTAATGACATTACTGTCTCAGAGATGTCACATGGTAACATGTATCACAGTAAAAATAAGTGGATCTAAATGGATTAAAAATTAATAGAAAGGCCAGGGATTTAGCTTCATGGTTCTGCCACTTGCCTCACAAATGCAAGGTCCCAAGTTCAATCCCTGGCACCAAAACCAAAAAATTAATAAAAAGATCTCTTCCAATGAACTAAATGTTTTCATTGTTTCCAAACCCACACAAAGATATAAGCAGGGGGAAAAATGTCATAATCTCAGGTGCATCTGAGATACATTTTGAACTGAAACCAAGACATGATTATTCCCACATTTGAGATTGTGTGAAATAATTGCAAGCATAGGAAGGGTGTGAGGAGCTGCAAGAACATCCTGCAGTGGTGGCAAGACAGAAATCTGTGCTGAATGGTCAAGGGAGTTCTCAGAGATCTTTTCCTGTCATCTGTTTCTGTCTATGATGGATGCAGCTGGGGAAATTCACTGCACTGCTTTGTGAGCTTTCAGAAACCCCCAAATGTAAGAGAAAATGAATAAGGGGTCTGTTTCTGAAGTGACAGAGGAGTTAAGTATCTTCCTATGTTAAGAGTACAACCTGTCAGAATTATCTTTCTATGATGTCATTTGTGTCTAACCAGACAGCCCAATTCACTTGACACATCTCTCTACCTATCAGCCTACTCTAATACCAATTAAGATGATTCTACAGGCAACAACACTATGGACACTTATACCTTCTAGAAAACAAAGCACACGGAATAAGAGAAGCTACTTAAAATAAGTACTTCAGTGCCTAAGATATAAGAAGCCCTCAAAACAAGTTCATGATGTTGTGACAACTATCCTCCTCTCCTACATTCTTATAATCACATTCATAATTTTGGAGTGCTTAGGAATTACTGAAAAAGACACATTTTCTCCTCCCATGAGTGAGACATCCTTGGGAAGGGGAAACAGGATGTGTAGAAAACAAATTTGAAGTAATAATTCTGCTTTCTCCCACTAAAACTGAAAACACAAAATTTCCATTCCTTATAACTATATTTTTCATATTTGTACCATCCTACTGGCCACCCAAACTGTCATCTTTTTCCTCATGATGAGGACACAATACTTGCAAGGATGCTTCCATATCAATCAAATCCATCTGCACTTACTTGGTGATGCTGTTCCTCTGCTGTGTCACAGTCAAGGAGAGCACACCCAAAGACCCTCCTGTGTCTACTGCCCAATGAATCCTAAGTCTCTGTCCTCAGGACTGAAATTAATACAAAGTTAGATAAGAGCTTCCTGATGCAGACAAACCTGGGGCCGGGACACAGGTATGGAGGTCTCTGGATTGGAGTCATCAAAGTGAAGAGCTGGAGTTACAATGTGATTGTTAACTATTTTATGACCTTGGGGACACAATGCACCGAGCTTATTAGCCAGATTGGTCCATGCCATCCCAATCTCTAAGGGTTTGTAACATTAATGTAAAGATAAATAAGAAAATAAATGTCCACAAGAGATTTTGGGATTATGATCTCCTCTGCCATGCTTTATTGCCCACAATTGCTTTTGCTATTTTTCTAAGTCTATTCTGGTTCCAAATGAATTTTAGGGATATTTTCTCTAGTTTTGTGAGATATTCTATTGGCATTTTAAATGGCATTGCATTAAATTTTTATATCGATTTTGGGAATATGGCCATTTTCACTATGTTGTTTCTTCCTACCCAAGAGTAAGGGATATCTATCCATTTTTTATATCTTCTTTCATCTCTTTTTTCAGAGTAATAATATTTCCAATGTGAAGTTCTTTAACTTCCTTTGTTAGATTGATTCTTAAGTATTTCATTTTTTATGCTATTGTGAAAGGTGTGGTTCCCCCAAATTTCTCTCTCAGTATGTTTGTTGTTTGTGTATAGGAATGCTACTGATTATTGATGACTTTTGATCTAGTTACATGAACAAATTTGATACTTAAATCTAAAAGTCTTTTGGTAGAGTTTTTAGTCTTGTATGTAGACTATCATGTTCTCTGCAAATAATAATTTAAATTTTTTTCCTATATTTATTTCCTTTATTTTTTTATCTTATCTAAATGCTCTGACTAATGTTTCCAGAACTATACTGAATAAGATTGATGATAGTGGACATCCTTGTCTTCTTCCTTATTATAGAGTGAAAGCTTTCAGTATTTAACCATTGAGTATAATGTTGGCTGTTGGTTTGTCATAGATGACTTTTGTCAGATGGAGATAAAGAACATCTATTCCAATTTTCTGTAGGGTATTTATCATGAGGAAATCACTAACAGTGAAGAATCAAACCTCAGGGTCAGAAAAAAATTTACCAGCTGTTTCTCAGACAAAAGACCACTATCTAGAATAAATAAAGAATTGGAAAAAGTCAGACCCACCAATTTAAAGAGCCAATCAAAAAATTGACATCTGAGATGACTGAACCCTTCTCAAGTGAAGAAGTACAAATGGTAAATAAATAAATGAAAAAGTGTTCAACATCACTGGTTATGGATACAAAAACTAAAACAAGACTGAGATTTCACCTCACTGCAAAAAGAGTGGCTATTATCAAGAATTCAACCAGTAACAAATGCTGGAGGAGTTTTGGAGAAAAGGAAACATTCATTGTTCATGGGAGTGTAAACTGTTTCAACTTCCATGGAAATTAGTATGGAGATTCCTCAAAAAACTAAGAGTAGAAGTTCGATTTGACCAAGCTACTTCCCTGCTTGGTATGTTCCTGAAAGAATTAAAAGCATCACACCATAGTGGTATATGCATAAGCATGTTCAGAGCAGTACAATTTGTAATACCTGTAACTTGGAAACAGCCCAAATGCCAATCAATAAATAAATGGATAAAGAAGATTATTTTTATACAATTGAGTACTACTTAGCCATAAAGAAGGATAAATTTGAAACATTTATAGGTAAAAGGATGTATCTAGAGACCACACTATTAAGAGAATAAATCAACCACACATTTATAAATATCATATTGTTTTTCTGGTGTGAGCATCTGAAAGTTTAAATAAGGACCAAAATGTATAGTATATTGTGAAGTAGGAAGAAAATGTTCAGAAGGGAATGGGTACAGGGGAGGGGAAGAGGGAAAGGAAGGAAGAGAGAAGAAAAAAATGAGAAAATAAATATAAAATAGAAACTGTTTTTTTGTAAAGGAGTAGTGGAATAGGGGTAGAAGAAAGAGGAGAGGAATGGGAAAAAATAAGAATCAAGATATATAATTTATATTTAAATTTAAATTTATATTTGAATTATATAAATAAACTTAACTAATGATAGACATTAAGAGTAGCTAAAAACAGAAAACACAGTTTAAAAAATAGAAAAGTGATCAATTAAACATTGCTTAAAATAACATCAGTAGTAAAGAAAAATGTCCAGTATAGCAATCCATCAGGAAAATGCAAATCAAAACCTATCTAAGATAGCATCTCACACCTGTAAGAATGGCTGCTGTCAAGGATGGAGGACAATTTTTTATGAGGATATGGAGAAAAGAAATCCTTGGATGATTTGGGCCTAAATATAAGTTAGTACAATCAATATCAATAAGAAAATAGAACCTGATGACCATGCTTTGTTATATAACCTCCATGGCTTAATGAATGCAGTAATAAATATCCAAATTAGACCATATTAACCCAATTTTAAGAACTTCTGAAATGAAATAGAAGTTGATGAAAAATGAGAAGATGAATGCTCATAAAAGGAGTAGGGCTCTGCCTCTACTCAGGAGGAATCTCAAGTGTACTTTTCACTTTGTTATTTTTTTCCTTCTACAAAATATCCTGAGCCTGGCATGGTAGTGAACAGCACATCTTGGCATTCAGGTGTGGTCAGCACAATCGCCTTGACCTGACCTATAAGTCAGCCTGGGATACCTCGTAAGTTCAAAGCCAGCCTGAAATACATAGTGAGACACTGTCTAAAAAAGTCCTCTGCTTTTTATTTCCATTGTTCATTGTAGCGAGACATGCATAGCTAAATGTGAACTTTTAATCAAGCTTAAACACAGTTTAGTACTGTTAATTACATTATCATTTTGTACAACCAAAAACATTAGCCATATTTCATCTCCCCAACTGAAACTTTTCAACCGTATGAATAAAACCTAAATTCCACCAACCTCCAATCAGTCATAATTCTCACATGAATCACAAAAACAAATTGAAGATGTCAGTCTTCTGAGATGATATGTGAAATAAGATAGTGGTCACAGGTGACTTAGGTGTATTCAATTTCACTACATTTTGAAAAACTACATCACAAATGGATGCCAAACAAGCTGAGATTAAACTTTAAAACAGTGGAGCCTCTTCAGGGTGCTACTAATGTCCCTATTTCTCAGGCTGTAGATGAAAGGATTCAGCATAGGGGTAACCACAGTGTACATAAGTGAGGCCATCATGCCCCTCCTGGGAAAATATGACACAGATGAACCAAGATACACTCCAATACCACTTCCATAAAATAAGCAAACGACTGACAGATGAGAACTACAGGTAGAGAAGACTTTGTACCTCCCATGTGATGATGGTATTTTTAGAATGGAGGAAACAATTTTATAGTAAGATAAAAGGATCCCGAACAAGGGAAAAAAGCCTAATATGGCCCCAACTAAATATGTGACCAGGCTTTTGATCGGGGTATCAGAACATGAAAGACTAAAGAGTTGAGTAGGATGGCAGAAGAAATTAGCAATTTCCACATCCTTGAAGCAGGTAAATTGCAAGGCAACTAAATTATGAAGCTGAGAGTCCAAAAGGCTAATTAAGACACATATCAAAAGTTGTGAGACACAGAGGTGAGGATTCATAATGGCAACATAGTGAAGAGGGTGGCAGATGGCCAGAAACCGGTCATAGGCCATCACAGTGAGAAGCATGTCATCCATACATCCAAACATTGTAAAAAAAGACATCTGTGTCAGGCAACCCACATAGGATATGACTCTGCTATGAGTTGAGATGTCCACAATCAACTTTGGGATCATGGTAGAGTTGAAACAGATGTCAACAATGGACAGGTTGGAGAGGAAGAAGTACATGGGAGTGTGGAGGTGAGAGTCAGAGATGACAGCCAGGATGATGAGCAGGTTCCCGAGCACTGTGACCAGGTACATTGACAGGAACAATCCAAAGAGGAAAGGCTGCAGGTCTGCATCCTCTGAGAAACCAATGAGATGGAATTCTAAGATGTAGGTTAGATTATGTTTTTCCATAGTGCTTGAACACCTTTTTAAAAGTTTGTTAGAAAAATGAAATTAATAAACAGAATCCTCTGGGGGCCGGAGATTTAGCTCAGTGGTTCCGCCACCTGCTTCACAAGTGCAAGGACCCGAGTTTGATCCCCAGTACCAAATAAATAAATAAACAAACAAACAAACAAATACATAAATAAATAGAATACTCTGTTATAAATCCAACTATACACAAGGAAATGTATTCCAATATTAAGCCAATAAACATTAAAATATGGTGATAAACCCCATTCTCAGGAGCTCTTTACTCCTAGGTTTGTTATCCATCTGCCTTTATGCATGCTCACTTTAGAGACGGCCGGTTAGGACATTAAATTTCAGAACTCTATGACCCCAGTAAAATACCACATTTTTTTTGCTTAACTTCTTTTATTGGTACATTTTAGGTATACAATACATTTACATATATCATTGGGTGTTTGTACCTGTACATGATGTATCTTGGTTCTTATTTTTTCCCCGTTACCTGTGCACCCTCCATCCCCCCCCACCCTTCTCTATTTACATAGACTGTTTCCATGATTTTTCTTTACTCATAATTTTTCCTTTCTCCTTCCCCTCCCACTTCCCCTACCCATTCAGACCTTTTCTTCCTATTTCAAAGGACTACTAACTAGAATATATAAAGAAATGAAAAAATTCAGATCCCCCAAATACAAAGACCCAATTCAAAAGTGGGCATATGAAATGATCAGACATTTCTCAGACAAAGAAGTAAAAGCAGTAAATAAATGTATGAAAAAAATGTTCAACATCACTGGTCATTTGCGAGATGCAGATGAAAACAATGCTGAGATTCCACCCCACCCCAGAAAGAATGGCCACTCTCAAGAAATCAACCAATAACAAATCCTGGCAGGTATGTGGGGAGAACGGAACCCTTCTCCATTATTGGTGGGAGTGCAGAATGGTGCAACAGCTGCAGAAATCAAAATGGAGATACCTCAAAGAACTAGTACTGGAAGTCCCATTTGACCTAGTTATTCCCCTGCTGGGTATCTTCCCAAATCAATTAAAAGAATCATACCACAGCAATGTATGTGCACCCATGTTTATAGTGGCACAGTAAAATAATAGCTAAAGCTTGGAAACAGCCCGAGTGCCCAGAGTGCCCATCAACTGAAAACTGGATAAAGAAAATGTGGTTTTTTATAAAATGGAGTATTACTCAGCCATAAAGAATGAGAAACTAGAGACTTTTATAGCTAAATGGATGCACATTGAGGCCATAATCTTAAGTGAAATAAATAGGACAAATGTGTAAATTCTGAATAGTTTCTCAAGTGTGAGAACCTGAAAGTGTAAATAAGGATTAAAATGAGTAAAATGAATAATTGAAAGTGCCGTATTCTTTTTAAAAGTAAGAACATATGATTCTATTGGAAGAAATGTTATACACTTTTAAATATACCTTATTTTATTTTCGGAAAAGTGGATAATTTCTCTTGACCTAGGATGTCTGTAATCACTATAACATCTAGGAATGTTATAATCTAAATATTCAATTTTAGTTAATAGTTCATAATCAAAATGCATACTATTGAGCTAGTTATCCCCCAGGAAGTTTTAAACACTTGTTGTTTTCTTATTTCCATCTTTCAAGGATATAAGAGCTCACTCATCCTTTGTTATGTACAACTTATTTAATATGTAACTCCTTGCTTTCATATGGTGTATGAAAGTTTGTACAAGTCCTAATATATACACATAATCTTAGGACATAATAATTATGAATGTGGCATTAGTGCATACCATATTTACCAATGATGAAAATAATAAATTATAAGAAGCTCATCTGTCATTTTAATTTTTTACAGGTTTATTTAGTCACTCCATAAAATTCACTAAAGTAGCTAATATGTAGGATGCCTCTTTCCTCTTATTTTAAATATTGTGTGTTCTACAGTAGCATGCTAATATGGTTCATCATTTATCTAATATTAAATCCAGTAGAAAAAATTTGAAACTGGGAAATTCCCAAAGCTCATACTGATTCTGAGCTTTGCTATTTCCTATTGAGCGATTTTTCACATTAATCTTTCCTGATATATGATTTGTATTTCTCTTTTTTTAGTTACATGAAGGAAACTGGGACACTGTTTTGTCAGAAAATGCTTTAACTTGGGAAAGTGAAAAAGAAGTACACGAAATTATGCTACATACCGAAAAACTCATGCATAAAAGAAAAGTATATAAAATAATGTAAACATATCTTTAAGTAAATAATTACCAGACAGGGGATCTAGCTCAGTGGTTCTGCTGTCTGCCTTGAAAGCACATTTTCCCAAATTCAATCCCTGGTACCAAAAAACAAACAAACAAATAAAGTGAAGTAATTAATTCTCAACAATAAGATGGTGATAACATTCACCTACCTTATATTGTTGCTGCATGAAAGTTTTTAAAATATGTAATTTGTGTCACTCATGATCCATAGATAGATAGAAAACAGATAGACAGATGCACATTTCTAAATACCCAGACATACTAGCCTCAGACTTGTGCATCTTTCCCTGTCATACAAGTGAAAATGTTTACTAAAATATTGGTGGGGGATGCTTTTCTGGTTTCCAATAATAATACATGTAAAAGTTTTCAATTTTTTGAAAACAGTCATTATCATTTACATCAACTTATTTTTGAGAAATATTTTCACAATATGCCTGCAGTCTGCCCAGCAATGATCTTATTGAGATAAGACAGAAAGAAATGTCATCATCATACAGAAAATTTTGCCCCAGTGGAGGGGACTGCTTCCTGGGAGGGGACTCGTGAAATCAGCACTTAGTCCTGCATCACTAACCTGCTGCCATACATAGACTGTGTGAATGTCTCCTCCCCTCTGTGCTCACACTGCTTAAGGAAAAAATATCATTCATCTTCACATGTGTAGCAAGTAAAGAATGTTTGGAAATTATGTATTTAGTCACTGTGAGTTTTTGTTTTTAAAATAAGAAGTCCCTTCCTTATCCAAGGAGAAAGTTACTGACAGATACAGTTTACTGTATTCAAATAGCACTAGAACCTGGAATGATATGATGTTCTGTAAGTAGCTCAGCGTGAGGTATACATTCACCTGCTTCCTTTTCTGTGTACCCTTTTTTCAATTGTATGTATCTCTGCTGTTTTTGAATCATGGATGCAGATGCAAATAAATGGGTTACTGGACCCATGACAGACACAAACAAGAGCTATTTGTATAGTTTCTATATCTATGGAAGATTCAGGGAAGGAACAGAGGTGCACAGAGGAACTTAAAAAGCATGCTAAGTAAAAACAATTATTGTGACTAAGGAAGAATCCTGTTAAACAGAATTATCTGTTTAACAGGGGTTTTTACTTCTGATGCCTTCTCTATGACAAAAAAAAGTATAGGCTCTGGGGAAGCAGATGTAAGAACAGTGTATCATCGGTCCCCAAATATATGCATATAAATACAAAAAGACAAAAACAAAATGTGCTGCTACAGACATAGGAAATGATTAACTTCAAATCACATTCACAATTAGTATGAAGGTTATCCTTATCAACTGAATTTTATTTTGCACTAATGTTATACACATTAAACCTATATGCAACCCTCCTAATGGGAGTGCAGCTGTTTTAAAGAGAAATCAACACTAAAGTCTATTCTACCTCAAAGATATGAAAAATCTGCCCTGCATCAAGAGTAAGTGGAGCTAAAAGGATTAAAAGTTAATTTCACAGATGGTGTCAAATATCCTAAATTTTTACACTGATACCCAACCCACAGAAAATTTAAGCAGAGGCTTAGAAGCCTTAACCCTGGGTGCATCTCAGGTTCATTTTAACCCCTTCATTTCCTAAATGAAAATAAATTCAAGACTTGACATACCCCCATTTGAGACTGTGAGAAATAATTTCAGGCACAGAGGATGTGGGAAGCTTCAAATATCTTGCAGTGTGGTAGCCAAGAAATCTGTGCTGTATTACAGTGAGAGAGTATGTTAGTTTATTAAGATGGCAATATTTTGAAAATGCTTGTGCTTCTTTCCCTATCATACAAATGAAAATTTATATAAAAATACTGATGGGAGATACTTCTCTGATTTCCAGGAAATATATGCATCTCAGAACTATATATTGTTTTTTATTCATTAAGTTATTGGTACATTTTAAGTATACAATATGATGACATACATCAATGGGAATTTGTACCTTTACATGGTATAATTTGGTTCTCATATTTTCCCACTCCCCTGCCCTCTGTTCAACCCCTCCATGCCTCCCTATTTACAAAGACTTTGTTTCCATGTTTTCCTTTTCTGATATTTATTCCTTTCCCTTCTTTCCTATCCCCTACCCTTGCCAATCCCCCTTTCCCTTTGGACCTTTTCTATTTCACATTATTATACATTTTGATCCTTATTTACACTTTCAATTACTCACACCAGAGAAACTATATAGTATTTAAACATGTGTGTCCTATATATTTCACTTAAGAGTATGGCCTCAATCTACATCCATTTAGCTATAAATGCCTCTAGTTTCCCATTCTTTATAGTTGAGTAGTGCTCCATTTTCTAAAACAAACAAACAAAACTTCTATTCAGTCTCCAGTTGATGGGCAATTGTCTTGTTTCCAAATTTTAGCTATTACAAACTGTGTGATTGTACATTCTTTCTGGGATACATGGCTGTGACCTATAACCATCTTTCCTATGGTGAATGCAGGTGGTCCCTCCCGCTGCTCTATTCTGTGATATTTCAGGAACCTCTGCAAAGAACTGGAGCAGTGAACACAGACTCCCTTCCTCCAGTGACAGGAAAGGGAAATGGCTGTTTGTGTTGTTAAGGGGGCAATTGCCAGGACTACCACATGTGATGGCCAGTGTCTATAATCAGGCAGATCAATTTAAATGTGGCTTAACATTTTTATATCTAAAACGTGCTATGGATTTTGTTAAAAGAAGAAATCAATTTTCCACATGGAATAACAATGTGAGCACTCATAATGACAGGAAGACAAAACCAATGAAATGAAATGAGCAGCATGGACACATTGCTCAGTGCCTGGAGTCCAGGAAGCCCTCAGAACCAGTTCATCATGCTGCTCTCATTCTCTTCCTTTTCTACATCCTCATCATTAACTTCACCGTCCTTTCCCAGTGCTTAGAAAACACTGCAGGAGCACAAATTTTCTTCTGCTATAGTGAGACATCCATAGGAAGTAGAAACAGGGTATGAAGAAACCAAATATGACATAATCATTCTGCTTTCCCCACTACACCCAACACACACACACACACACACACACACACACACACAATTTCTATTCTCATAACTGATATGTTTCATATTTAAGCCTTCTCATCGGTCTACCCAACTGTCAGTTTGTCTTTTTGGTAAAGACTAAACATTCAAGGATCCTTTGTAGGTCTATGAGGTTCCTCTGCATTTACCGGATAATACTGTATCTCTGCTGGTGATAGTCAAGAAGAAAACATAAAAGATCCCGAGTTCAATTACCAGTACCAAAAAAAAAAATGATTCTCCTATGTCTGCTGCCCAGTGAAGGGTCAGGGTCTGTCCTCAAGATTCAATTAATGCACACAGATAGGACCTTCCTGGTGAGGACCACCACAGAGGCTCAGACAAAGGTATGGGACTCACTGGATAGGAGTCATCAAACTGAATGCCCGGAGGCACAAGCTGATTGTTGACAATTATATGACCCTAGAGGCTCAATATGCAGAATCCATGTTTAGCCAAATTGGTTCCTGCAATCCCAAACTCTAAGGACTTCCCAACACTAAAGGAAAACAGAGAAGAGGAAAACAAGTGTCCTCAAGAGGCTTTGGGCTTTTCCTGTACTCAGGTAAAACTGGTGTGTTCTAATCACTTCTCTTTTTAATGTATAATTTTAAATGCCCGTCTGCTTTATTCTTTCTTAGAGCAAAATAAACAAAACAAAAAACTTACAGTTTTAACCATATTAGTACACCCCTCCATGACTTTAATTAGATTCACATTGTTGTAAAATACTCAATATATTACATTTTCAAGAACGTTTTGCTTTCCAAAATGAAAATTATATAATCAATTTTAAAATCCCCCATTCATTCCATCAGTATTATACTATGAAAAGTTATGAGAAACTAAATCCATGAAAGTACATTAACATAACCAAGTAGGGAGGTCTTAGAAGTCTAAGTGTTGTGTTGATTGACTTTTTCTAAGTATATTCAAATAGCTGTCACAGCACCTGAGATTAGAATATTCTGATGTGGCATACCCCCAGGGTACTTAGAATGTCCCTGTCCTTCAGGCTGTTGATAAAGGCATTCAGCACAAGAGAGAACATAGTATACATCACTGAGGCTACTGAATTGTTTCTTGGAAAAACTTATACAGTTGAGTCAATATATATACATATATATATATTCAAACACCTGTTCTATAAAATAAGCAAACTCCTGAAAACTTTGCCCTATAAGATAAAAACATGATGATGGGAATTTTAAGTGTAAAAGACTATTTTGTAGTAAGAGATAAGTTCTGTAAGATTAGGGATAAAGAATATGACACCATCTATATATTCACTATGTTACTGGGGAAGTTGTTCACATAGGCAGGAAGGTAGTCAGGGTAACATAACAAATTATAAATTTTCACATCTTTGAAGGACCTAAACCATAAAACAATAAAATTATGCAGGTGAGAGTGCAAAAAGCTAAGCAAATATTAAAACCTAAAATAAAAGAGGTTTGGAAAAGAGAAACAAGTGAGCAGGTATTGAGTACTCTGTATATATTCTGAATCTAGTACTCATTAGTAAAATATACATACTTGGCATCCATGCACCTTCAGCAATCTTTCTCATCCTCTTTCAATCACAGTTTCTAGTTGATCATGAATTTCTATATACACCTAATAGAGACACTCACCTGAACTATTACAAGGCCAAGAACATTAGAGATAATATGCTCATGTTCATAGGACAAGGATTCCTACTTTGATAAAATAGAAAGAATAAGAAATATACCTCTATCTCTAAAATAAAAGGAAGAAAATTAGGAAGTAAGGAAATATATCTGATTTTTCTCTGAGGAAATAGTACAAATTCCTATGATTTAAAGTGTTCATAAACACTTAGAAACATAGGAGTTTGGACTGCATTATATGAACAATAATTCATTTCAATAGGTATGATCAGAAAATATTTTTATTTGTTAATTATGGTCCACAAGTTTTTCAAAATTTTAGGTTTTCTGATTTCCCTTTATGAAGGGTTATGTGTTCATCCAAATATATTTTTAAAACTGTATGATGCCTCTTATGGCCTTAATAGAATAGAAATTTTAATAAATGAAAGTTAAATACACACTCTAATATTAAACATTAGTTCTTTATTGCTGAGTAGTACTCCATTTTATAAAAAAAAAACCCACATCTTCTTCATCCAGTCTCCAGTTGATGGGGAATTGGGCTGTTTCCAAGTTTTATCTATTACAAACTGTGCCACCAGAAACTAGAGACATTTATAACTGAGTGGATGCACATTGAGGCCACACTCCTAAGTGAAATAAATAGGACATGCATGTATGAATACTAAACAGTTTCTCTGCTGTGAAAAACTAAAAGTATAAATAAAGATAAAAACGTATAATTGATATTGTGAAATAGGAAGAAAAGGTCTAAAGGAGTAGGGAAAGTGGGAAGGCTAGGGGAAAGAAAAGAATGGGAAAAATATGAGAAAAGGAAAAAAGTGGAAACAAAATCTTTGTAAATAGGGAAGAGTAGTGAGGGTGAAGGGAGGCCAGAGGAAGGGGGAAAAAAAGAACCAAGATACATCATATAATGGTACAAGATTGCAATGATGAATGTAACTGTATCCTATACCTAAAATGTACCAATAAACTTAATGGGAAAAAGTACAAAATCAATGACCACAAATGTAGCACAAGTACACATTGCATTTGTTGGTGGCTAAAAATAATGAAATTTTAAGAAACACTTGTGACTTTTTAAATTTTGTTGAAGTTTATTTGTATCAAATGCATCCATCAATGAGGTTATCTATTTTTATGTTTTCATTTTTGTTCTGTATTCCATAGTTATCTGTTGAAATATTTCCTTGTTTTTCTAATCTTAAGCTTTTCCTTTTTTTTTCCATTAAGTTTATTGGTATATTTTAGGTATGCAACACAGTTACATTCTTCATTGGGATCTTATACCTTTGCAAGATTGATCTTGGTTCATATTTTTTCCCATTACCCTGCCCTCCCTGCACCCCCTGCACATTCTCTATTTACAAAGACTGTTTCCATTTTTTCCTTTTCTCATGTTTTTTTTTCTTTTCCCTTCTTTCTTTTCCCCAACCCTTCCAACTTCCCCACTCCTGCAGACCTTTTCTTCCTATTTCATATTATCAATTACACCATGTTAACCTTATTTACACTTTTAGTTTTTCACACCAGAGAAACTATTCGGTATTAACACATGTGTGTCCTATTTTTTTCACTTAAAACTATGGCCTCAATGTGTATCCACTTAGCCACAAATGTCTCTAGTTTCTCCTACTTTTTAAAGTTCGTCTTATTTTTGTTTGTTTTTTTTTCTGTTGGGAAGAATCTATGCTAGATGCTTTCATAGAATGAAGTTTTTAAAGATCCTTCTGGTCTTTTTCTTTATCTTGCTTATCTATCCCTGGTGAATCTGGTATCTACTCTTCTATTGTTTCATCACTTTCTAATGCCTGGTTACTGATTGTACTGCTAAGAACTTTAAACTAATCATTAATAACAGCATCATTATCAGACTGAATTAGCAGTTCTGTGCCTTGACGAGTTTTCAGCTCAAATACGCTCTTCTTCCTGGATTTGTCCTTTGAGGCCATCTCTATCGCTGCCCCCTTGGGGTATACTGTGTACTCTTGCTTGGACTCATTACTCTAAAACAAACTTGTACTGCTTCCTTGAGTTTTAGTAAAAAGTAAAGATAAGCCCTGCAATACTGCCCAGGAAGACAGCCAGGTCTTTCAGACCTTTTTCACATTTTCAGTAATTTTTTGTTACATTGAACAATCCATACTTCTCTTGACCTGGGTATTGGTTCTTTGTTGAAGAGGGAGAAGATTCATTTTCAGTAGAGCAGTGTTTTGAGGCAGTTGGAGAGTCCTTGATATTGGTGTCCAGTACAATGGTGCCATGTCTCCACTGTGTTAATACTATTTGTTCTTGCAGCCACCTGTCCAGGCTTCTACTTTTAAGTATTTCTCTTTGCTGCTGGGATGGAGCATTATACTTTGGCAGCTCCCACTCAGAATGAGATCCATCCACGCTTTAGTATTACTGTCTACCTTGGTCATTGACATGCTTAAGCCACTCTGGATCTCCTTGAATGTGGAAATCTTTGCTCATGCTTATGTTCCGAGTCCATTGGGGTGGTTTCCAAGTCCTTGCCTGTGTCCCTTGGTTACAGTAGTAACAATGCCCTGAACTATTTGTATACATTTCCCACTCTCCATTAGTCTGACCTGCTGAACTCCCAGGAAGGAGCAGGGGAAGAAGACTGGGATATTTTCAGTTATTGTAAGTTAGCATACACAGGAGAATCTGGCCTTCCTTGACTTGGCGGTGTATTTGCCCTTACCTGCTCTGTGGAGCTGCTACTAAGCTCACCTTCAGATTCAGAATCTTGAGGTAATCTCTCTGAGCTTTCTCCAGCTGAATCTCAAGACTCCTGGAAGAAGCTAATTTTCTCTAAGTCCAAGAACTCCTGACCGGCAAAGTGACCAAATAAGTGTGTACTGTTTTGGCTGGAAACTTTGGGAGAATGTGAGTCATTGTTAAACTTTCCATTGTTGTGCGTCACACCCAGGCTTAGGGTAAGAATTTGACATGGATTATAGCAGTGTCCAAAATTCTGATTGGCATCATGAATAAGACCTGTTCCCTGAACAGAAGGTGAGGGCTTTCCAAAACTCAAAAGTTCAGGCAGTTTGTTCATATTTTCTGTGTATCTCTGAAGATGTAGACTCTGTATAGTTTCCATAGAATTATTTGGCAGTCTGGCTGCCTGCTTCATAGGTGGCATCAGGGCTCTGCAAGTGAACTTCTTCACATACTGGGCCAGCACATAGAACATTTTGGAATTCTCATCTGATTTGACTTTCCACCAGTGCTCATTGGTCTTTTTCACCAAGATGTACTGCTCCCCTTGTTTTATCACCACCTTTCTGTCCTTTGCTTTGTATTCATAGTCATACTCCACTTCAATGTACACTTGTCCTGGAACAGCCTTCCCACTTCTATCAGCCATCTTCATTCAATAATGTTCACCTCTCAAAAAGGAGGGCATGCCACATTACAGGTTTGTGGCTTGCTGCAGTAATGAAGCTTAGAAAGATGTATCCAGTGTTACATTTAAATCTCTTAAGCTGGCTAGCAAAATCTGAACCAGAACCCAAGTGAGTCCTCACCCAGCTCCCCCAGTGCAGTCCACATTCCCTGCCTGTGAGGAACGTGAACAAGGACACTCAATGAAACCAAGTTCCCTATCCCAACCGAGCGAGCCATGAGCGACTGAGCCCCAGAACCATCGACCTTTACACCAATGCCGCAGCAGTTGAAGACGCTAGAACTCTCAATAGAGGGTGCTGCAGGCAAGGAGTGGCAACTCAGGGAGCCCAGAACCTCCCATGCCCTGCAGCCAAGGGCACTTGGCTCTGAGTGACTGCTCTGGCTGGTCTGCCCAAGGGTGCGCAGATTCTGAGGACCCACTGGGGGGGAGGGTTGACTCTTTTTCTTTTTCCCTCTCTCCCTTTAATTTATTGCCTTGCCTTATAAAATATTTTGTATTTGCTCTGTTGGGCCTCATGGAGTTATGACCTTCATTGACTCTTTCTAGGGTGTTTTAAAAATTGTTTGGAGTGCCGGTTTGGTATTCATGAATTTTCTCAGGTGTTCTTTATCATGGGAGTATCTCATTTCCCCATCAATTTTGAAAGATAGTTTTGCAGGATACATCAGTATAGGTTCGAGGTTGTTTTTTTAAGGGCTTGAAATACCTCACTTCAGGCTCTGCTTAACTTGAGAGTTTGTGTTGAAAAGTCTGCTGTGATTCTGATGTGGTTTCCTTTGAATGTGATTTGTTTCTTTTCTCTAACTGCTTGTAGTATTTTCTTCTTCTATTGCATTTCCAGGATTTTGATTATTATATTTCTAGGTGTAGGTTTTTTTTATCAAGGCTTATTGGAGACCTATATGTCTCACTTATCTGTATGGCAAATTCTTTTGTTCTGTTTCAGAAGTTTTCTGTCATTAATTCTATGAACAGTTTTTCATGTAATTTGTACTTTCTCTTGCATTTTCATGGACTCCTATCAGTATTATATTATTCTGCTTTGCATCATCTAGGAGCTTTTGGATTGATTTCTCATGGTCCCTTACTATTTTTAAGAGATCTCCCTTTTCATAGTCACTGACCACCATCCTATCTTCTACATCTGATATTCTGTCTTCAGGTTGGCTCAGTCTACTGTGT